CCTGCAGTAGCGTCAATTAGTTGATCTATATGTGGTAACCGAAAAGAATCTTTTGGACAAGCTTTGTTAAGGTCGGTGTAGTCTACACAAACTCGCCATTTGCATTCTTTTTTTGGTACCACTACAGTATTAGCTAACCAATTAGGATACTTTACCTCGCGAATAGAACCTATTTTTAAAAGTTTTTGGACTTCATCTTGAATCACTTGATTTTTGAAAAATCCCTGCTTTCTCTTCTTTTGTTTGATGGATCTTCATTTAACTTGTGAGTCATTACCTCCGGGGTATCCCTGTCATATCAGCATGGGACCAAGAAAAACAATCCATGTTAGTTTTTAAAAATTCGATCAACTTACCTTTCATGTCCTGGCTTAAGTTGGCCCCAATATAGACTTTCCTCTTAGGCATTTGTGCGAATAATTCTACAGCTTCCGATTCTTCAATCGTGGTTTTGATATTATCATTTTCCTCTGGTTCTTGGATGAAATCAGGTCGTGAATCTACATCTATTTGCCTATCTCCAGTTGAGGTTTGTGGTGTAGCATTCTCAACTGGGTTCTGTAATTGCTATTTTTCTTTGTTTTTTGTGCTTGAATCTTCTACAGAGTTGATGCTCCTAGGTGTTTGCTGATCACCTCGGATTTGACGGATCCCCCACCGTGACGGGAATTTGATGACTTGATGTAAGGTAGATGGGACAACATCCATTTCATGAATCCACGGTCTAACAAGAATCATATTGTAAGCCATATCTATCTCTACCACTTGAAATTTCGTATGTTTGATAACTCCTTCTGCGAATGTTGTGAGTATTACCTCTCCTTTCGTCACGACGCTCGAATTATCAAAACCAGATAAAGTATGCGCCTTGGGTATTAGTTTATCTTCTGCTTGCATCTCGCTTAATACTCTTAGCAAAATAATATTCACGGAGCTACCTGGGTCAATCAAAACTCATTTTATGTTAGTCTCATGCACAAATAAAGATATTACCAGTGCATCGTTGTGGGGGGTTATCACGCCGTCCGCGTCTGCATCATCAAATGTAATACTTTCTTCCTCCAGAACATGTCGAACCCGCTTCCCGTGTGTAACTGTAACTTTAGAAATTTTCTTGGCTGCTATATATGTCACGCCGTTAATTTCTTCGCCTCCGCTTATAACATTAACGGTCCTTTTCGGAGAAGGAGGTTTGGGAGGCTCCTGGCTGTTCTTCATGTATGCTTGCTTACTCTCTTCGCTAAATAGTTCGGTAAGATACCCTTGCTTTAATAAACGGTCCACCTCACCTTGTAACAATCTACAATCTGCTGTTTTATGACCATGGTCGTTGTGAAACTCGCACCAGTGGCCAGGGTTGCGCCCATTTGGATTTGATCTCATTTCCTTTGGTCACCGCACCTTATCACCCATGTTTCTTAATACAACTACTAACTCTGAAGTGCTTACATTGAAACTGTAACTACCAATCATCGCCTTAGAGCCTCTGTCATCACCGCATGTCCCGTTTTTTTCTGAACCTTGATGATGAACCCGATTCTCTATCTCTACGATCGTAGCTTGGGTTATCCTGTTTAGATCGTGAGTCTTTTCCCGCTGGTCCCAAGTAAGGCTCGTATCTATTTTTCCCGGACCTTTTGTCAGTTTCAGTACGCCTTGAAACCCTCTCAACCTTTTGAAGCCGGTTAATAGTATATTCTTCTATCTGCAACTTCGTGTTGTACCTGTTGTAGACATCATTCCAAGTTGTTGCTGGAAATTCGCGTAGGCTTTCCTTGAGTCGTCTCGCGGCTTCCGAACTCTTTTCATTTAGATTGCTGGTAAAGGCCATAGCTGCCTAGTTATCAGGTACGGGTGGCAACGTCATCCTTCCACGCTGGAATCTATCTACAAATTCTGTGAGCAATTCTGAATCTCCTTGCTTTATTTGGAAAATATCTTCCATCCTTTTTTCGACCTTTTGAGCTCCCGAAAGTGATTTGATAAATAAATCTGCAAGCTAAGCAATAGAACTTATAGAATTTTTGGGTAAAAGAGAATACCATGTTAATGCTCCCTTCGTGAGCGTTTCACCGAATTTTTTGACCAATACATATTCAATTTCTTGTTTGGTCAAGTCATTGCCTTTTACGCCATTTGTGAATGCAGTCACGTGGTCTCGTGGATCAGTTTTTCCATCGTATTTTGGAATATCGGGCATTTTGAATTTCTTTAGAATTAGGAGGGGAGCGGGACTTGGCTTCCAAGGTTGTTGTAAATATTTGTCCATGTCTATTCCTTTGATTACAGGTAGTACTCCAGGTAGTTGCTCTATGCGATCGCTTTGTTCCTTGAGGTGCTTCTGCAGGGTTAGAACTAAATTTTTGTAAATCAGAATTAACTATGTTACCTGGTTCGCCATCACGAGACTCGCTTGGAGTTCCACCAGTGCCTGAATGCGCGAGCCCAGAACGTGGTTTTCCAATGTATTCTGATTCGGAGTTGGTGTTGGTGGCGCAACTGGCAACTGGCTAGTAGAAGCACGGAGAGCATTACTGACTTGCTGAGCAATCAGATTTTTTAAGGCATCATCAAGTGCTTGTTCGTTTACAACTCCAGCATTTTGAATCCCCTCGACTCCGTTTTGATTTGCAACTCCATTGTTTGTCTCAGAGCCATCTGGAGTTCCTTCTCGTGATTGACGTTGTGAATTATGTGGTGAAGGAGGTGGAGTCCTGTCATATGCATTATTTTCTTGTTGTTGAAGACCTTGTTGACTATTGTCGTTGATATTCGAAATAGTAAGTTGTTTGATGAGAGAATTGACTTAAGAAAGCAAAACGATTATCAGATTCCCGGTAACGGAACCAATTTGTTTAACAAAAAAGTGGGATTTCGGCCAAAGCTTATTTTGGAAGAACTCGGGTTACTGATAATCAAATAGAAATATGAATAATGGACGTAAATAAAAGTTGAATAGAAAGCGAAGTAAATCGGTATATTCCAGTAGTATTTCGTGTGTTTACAAATGATCAGGTTGCCCCTTTTATAGCTATTTCTAGTTGATACGTTTTGCCTTTGTCATAATAAGGCCATTACAGACAATTAAAGGTATTTAATGCTACGTTATAAATGATAATCATTGTAATTCAATACAAATTCTCTAATGTTCTCAGTATTTAATGCCTATTAAATACTGTATCCGTTCCCACTTTTACTGTCAGGTTCATTCTCTTATCTTGACTCTTGAGCATAAAGAGGTGCGGACACCGAGTCTCTTGAATCTCTGTTCGTGTCTGTTGTAACTCGTGCCTCTTTTATTATTCTTTGCTGATCGTCATTCTTTGACCAGTCTATGTGTCATGACATGTCATCTTTCAATCAATTATATATGAACTCAATTTTTACCAATACATAAACATCAAGTCAAATTGTCAATATACAATACACAAGGCTTAGGCAGATAAAAAAATCATTTATCAATATATAATATATAAGATCGTTTAAAAATTTTCGCAACTATATCGACCATTAGCATTGGTGGATCTACATAGGCACTTGTGGGTGCTTAAGCACCCATTACCTTTGACCATATTTAGTAAATTTACATAGGATCGAGGATTATAAAAATATTTATATAAATATTGAGGAATTTTAATTGGCTAGCATGCATAAATTTAAAATCCTGAATCCGCCAATAACCATTAGACCACATAGTAACAATATACAATGCACAAGTCGTAGAGATAATTACAAATTTACAATCCCAAAAAAAAATAATCCTCTAGCGTGCTAGGACTTAGGCACACATTCATAATTATTCTTTTTTGTTTCAAGTAGTGTAATTTCACTTAATTAATTAAATTATATCCTTATAAAATTTATTACCCATTTGATCATAGATTTTGTTAAAATAAATTTGGATTTTATTTGGTAAACACATGTTTGACTATAGATTTTGCCTACATTTTGGCAAAATCCAAATCCCAAATCGCAAAACCAGCTCAATAGTTGGTTTTGGGCCAAAATATCTCTATTACATTTTCTTAAAGTTGCCCAAACTTTTGTATTTTATAAAAGAGCCCACCATTTATTATCTTGTAACAATGTTGCTTCGTCTTCTCGGTCATGATCTGATAGTGCATAATGTAGTTCACTGTAAAAATGATAATTTTGTACCAAATTTATTTATGTTCAGGACTATGGTTTGTGATAATATAATGAATGTTATTGATAATGGTACTGTTGGGTATTTGTGATAGTTTTTAAAACTTGTGGGTATAAGTCACGTTTCATGTTTTTCCAAAATAGATTTGGGAAATATGTTTTGAAAACTGATGTCCAAACATATTTTCATTATAAAACCAAACTTCACCCAAATCAAAAATTTCAAAACAAATTTGGGAATCTATGCCCAAACGCTTGCTTAGTACTCCTATATAAGTATTGAATTCTAATATCATTCTCAACTATATTACTGATTAGTTTTTTTGATTTCAGGCCATTTGAGGAGGGTATCATCTTGGTTATCATCGGTCTAATAAGATATACCACTGAAACAAAATAACTATGAACTGAAATTGGACCATTTTAAAAGAAAATTATATTCTATTTTTCTAATTAATATGGTAATTTTGGTCGAATACATAATTTAAGATATTAATTCAATTTATTTTAGAGTTATATAGTCTACCTAGAGGGGTTGTATAGTTTCCTTATATTGTGTAAATTTGCTTTAAAATTCACTTGTTTTTATATAGGAGGGTGTAAATTGTAAAATGATACATAATTATCACATCTCACTTAAGATTAATTAGGAGTTTCTGCACAAATTAAAAAGAAAATTTTGAACAAGACCTTTCTTTGCATTTAAGTTTTGCGTTTGATAGTCAAATTCTTTCACATTTGTATATTTTTGTTAGTGTTAGTAAATAAAAATTACAGTAATTACTAAAAAGAAAATTGGAGAGATTTCAGGCGCCAAAATACACAAAAAGCCCGCGCCTTTCTCCCTCCATGCACTAAACACCCCCGCCCTTTATTTCAAAGTTTTCAACTCATTTCTAACCTCATTTTCACCTACACATTTCACAGTTTAATTGTCGCCGGCGAAAAGTGGCGGATTCCAAATTTAGACACCATTTTTTCCGATTTAAAAACTGAAATATATTTCTGACTCTTTAATAAGTACACGTTATTTTTGGATCCGTCACTTGTTCTAAGCGCCGGCGAAGTACAAATGCAGGGTCGCCAACACCACCCCCACACCGCCACTCCTATCGCCGACGTTATCCTTCCTAAGCGAGGCAAAAAACGGGGTAGTTACAGCTGTGGTCGTTGTGGTGTCCCTAAAAAAGGCCACGTTTGCAGTTTTCCAAAGGACCTTAATCCTATTAGTAATCCAAACCCTGATCTCACCCCTAATCCCAGTGAAAATCCCAGTCCTAATCCTGAATCATTCCGTTTGCCTTCTCCACTCTCAGTCGTCCGTCCTCAGTCGCCGCCACCTCCTCCGCCGCCGCAGCAACGTCTTATACTCCCGCAACTCCGGCGAGCACTTTCATTTGATGACATTGATGTTACTGATTCATGTAAATCTGATGACGAGGAAGAGGAGCTTTTTTTCGATCCGGATAATGAATCGGATCTAATCGGGTCCGGAAAGTTGCCGGGGTGTTGTTTATGGGAGGTGTTTAAGAGATTGCCGCCTCCGGCGTTGCTGGCGGCGGCTAGGGTTTGTAAAGGGTGGAAGGATATTTCTAGAAGGGTCTGGAAGTCTGCGGAGGAACTTAGGCTTCGGGTTCCGGTGAAGGCCCAGATTGGACTTGTCGGATCGGTGTTGAAGAAGTGTCCTGGGCTTGTTAAGCTTTCTGTTACGATGGAAAGGTTGGTTCTTTCAAAAAAATTGAATGGCGGGTCGGATCTAGGTTTGTCAATCGGATCTAGGAATAATAATAATATAATAATATTAAAGGACTAACCTTTTCTATTTAACAAATGAAGTTTGATTGAACAATGAAAATAAATACTAACAAAAGAAAAACTGTAATTTGTTTAACATTTGATAGTTTGCAATGAGATTGCTGTATCATTACTTATAACCTTGAATTCAGAATTATTGTCACTGTGTATAACTTAAATTCTTTTAAAATTTGTAATAAGTTTAGAATGCAAGGTTTGTGTGGTACTAGGTTAGATTTGAGTTAAATGATGTTGTGTAGTACGTAGTGACAGAATGTACATTTGATTGATTATTACTGATGGTCTTTATTTTACAGTGATGTTGATGCTACTATGTTGGCCTGCATTGCATTTTCCTGCCCGAAATTGGATTCGATAGAGATCTTCACATCTGGTACCTCAGTCAATCGGATCACGGGGTATGCTACTATGCTTTAGTTCTCTAATTTGCATATCTTGATACTTACATGTTGTATGTATGCTGCGTACTTTTTCTTCTTGTTCTTATGTAGATAAAACATTGGTGGGTTTTTTTGGTTGATCTTGTTTTCTTTTGCTATAAGTCTTGTTAGTTATACCCTTTGTTTTTGCCAATGGACATGTTTCTTGCGTAGTTAGTCTTGTTCAATTGCAATATATTGAGTCCAATGAACTCTGGTTTGGGAGGGAAGGGGTATGCTAGGCTAAAAAACCTCGTCTGTAAATCATAGTTTCTGCAATCTTGGGAATTGATGCCATGAATTATTCATAAATGCCTTTTCCGCATAGTCACTTATTTGGTACCCCAATTGGAATGTTTGTTATTTTGTGATAACTAATCATCTAGTGGGATTGGCCAATTCTAATATATCGGTAATATAGGTTCATGCAATACATAGTTGCTAAGGGGATGCAATTTCTATATATTTTATGAAAGCCATGCCATCTAATGCAGGGATGAGTTGGGTCGTTTTGTTGCTGACAAAAGATGTCTTACTAATCTCAAGATGGAAGGCTGCTCTAATCTTGGGGGTTTTACTCTTTGTTCAACCAGTCTCTCCACTCTTTGGCTTTCAGATCTCTATTGTCACTCTAAGATGGTAAATATTGTATGATGTTATGGTACTTATTCTGGGCTCCGAACATATGCGTGATGTGTGTTCACCTCTCTAGGTCTTTAACTGCCCCAACTTGAAGGAAATTTCCCTGGATTTTTCTCGGCAAGAAAATGATACCACTGATTTAACTCTCATGGTGGAGGGTCTTGGAAGGAGCTGTCCTAGACTCCAGAGCATTCACATTGCTTCCATCCGGCTTACAAATGCTGTCGTGCTTGCTTTAACAGCAGCAAATTTAAGGTTTGCAATGCTTATCCACTTGGATCTCTTATGAAATTCTTTTCTGAAAGGCACCTTGATTTTCCCTTGATAAAGCTTGTTAATAATTGTTTTACTACCTTGCACATCAGGGGGTTACAAATGCTTTCTCTTGTACTGGGGTCAGAAATAACTGATGCATCTGTTGCAGCTATTGCTTCAAGCTACTCAAGCCTAGAGTTGCTTGATTTAAGTGGGTAAGTTTTGCTTCCCAGAGCCATTTTTGTGGTTCCTCCACACTGTGGGTGATAACAAATAATTGAATGTTGAGTAATCGATACACTGAGTAATCGATACACTGGTTGAGTTTCCCTTCTTTTGGTTATTTGCTTCCTCGTATGTCTGAAGATCCACAAAGAATAGTCAGCCCATTAAATAAAACAGACCGGAGCTTAAGTTGATATTCTGAAAGCTGTATCACTGACCAACATAGTGGTTGCAATTGAACCACACTTGATGGTTGACTAGGATATTAATTTGCTTTTGTGGATCTAGGCAATAACAACAACATACTCAGTATATTTTCATAAGTTGGGTCTGGGGGGTAGTTTGTACGCAGACCTTACCTTTACCTTGTGTAGGTAGAGAGGTTGTTTCCGATAGACTGTCGGCTCAGGTAAGCACAATATCAGCAGTAAAGAAATGCAATATAAAAAAGTGAACAAGTCATGGAAAGGAAACATAAGCAATAGGATCTAGGTAAGTTAGTCTAATGTGAAATTTGGATATCGTCTTAAAGTATACCTTCAGTAGACAAGGTTATTGGTCCTATATTGCATTTTTTTTTTTTTTGGAAGCAACTAATTTATTTGAATGGAAATTGAGGGTTGTATTTTCTATTTTGCTTTTTTTTCTTTTTTGTTGTTGTTGCAGGTCTAGCATTAGTGATAGTGGCATTGGAATGATATGCAATGTATTCCCAGAGACATTGTCTAAACTTCTCATTGCTGTTTGTCCAAATATCACTTCAAGTAAACATTCATATCTGCTTCCTTGATTATCCAACCCAGCAACCTGTTGCATGTTCACTAATTTGTTTGGAATTTGTGTTGGATTCTTTTAGGTGGCATTCAATTTGCTGCAGCTCAGTTGCCTAATCTAGAGCTAATGGACTGTGGTATGACCATTTGTGATCCGGATCTAGACAGTACAACTCAGGAAAATAACGATCTCCAATTACATAGAACTCCAAACAGTAAAATGCACCTAATATATCAAAAACTGATTATTAAACATACCCGCTTGAAGAAACTCAGCTTATGGGGTTGCTCTGGATTAGATGTGAGATTCTTCAGTCAATAGCATCTAAGCTTTCCTTGTTGCCTTTCTGCTTTAGCTGACTGAAATTTTCATGTAGGCATTATATCTGAATTGTCCAGAGCTTAAAGATTTGAACCTGAACTCTTGTATAAATCTGAATCCAGGTCTGTTTTTGATGTTCCTCTTGAGCCTTTGAGCTTACGGAAAATAAAGCATTTTTGCTAAAATTGACTTTAATCATTTTTACCTTGCCTTACAGAAAGATTATTACTCCAGTGCCCCATTCTGGAAAGTGTTCATGCATTAGGTTGCCAGGACATGTTGGTTGAAACCCTTCAGAATCAGGTAAACTAGTGGATATTTCCCACAGTCTGAACTTCATCTTAATTCTGCTTTATCCCCCCTGGATGTGTGTTAACAAAAGACATAAAGAGGACAGGGAAGATAGTCTATTAAGTCTCAAATTGGTATTTAATGAAAGCTGTTGAAATACAATAAGTTCCCAACAGAATTGCAGTAAAATCTGAAAGAGAAACTTCCTGATAAACAGGAATTACTCAACCAACAGAATACATCCCTAAAGACTAGGTATCCACAAGACTACAACCTGAAAAAAAAAAAAAGCATGCCTAAAGACTAGGTATTCACAAGACCACAACTGAAAAATCGTAAGACTAGGTAAGTCTACAACTGAAGAATATCTAAAGTATCTTCTGCAATTCAAAAAAATAAAATAAAAAATAATTAGCTGCTTCATTATCATGTCAACTCAGTATCTTGCATCAGCTTCATCAAACTTACAGCTCATGAGTTATATTGCAACAGCCTTCTTTACCAGTATGCCATTTGAACGTGGTCACATTCTTGATGTTATTTTCTTTGAGTTGACACACTTGTAAGGCCTGTCATGCCATTGGCAGAGCAATTTTATATTTCTCTCTTTGGCAAGTCAGTTCATTTCTTATGATTTTGTCCGACTCTTGCTGTATAGCAAGCAAACCTCCTTAGTGTTCTCTTTGAGATATACTTAAATTACTATGTTTCCCTTGTTATCTTTCATGTCTTTTGAAATTCTGAATGAAAATTTCCCGGGAAACTGAAACATTTGCATGAAATAGTGATCTAAAAATTTCCAGGGAAGTTAAACAAATTTGTATGATTAGGATCACCCATGTGCCTACTTTGATTTTGTTTCTAGAATGCATTTGACTAACTCTGATTCTTCTTTTTGTTACATGCAGGTTTGCAGTGATTTTGTAACTGCAGAAGATCATTTCCATTGCAAACGTCTTCCTGATGGCTCGAAAAGGGTCAGGGTTCCACATTTATTTAGTCCACAGGTAATACTAAGAGAATTGACTTACTGCAAGCTATGTTCCTCATTTCATATCTTATTATCCAAATGGAACTAAAGACATCTGTTTAGTACTCTTCCCGTTTCTTTTCTTGTGAAATAATGGATAGAAAATTATTTCTTTTTTCGATATCTATCAAAGAGAGTGACATGGTTTACTTATTTTGCAGCCAATTGACGAGAAGACAAAAAGGGTTTCGAAGCGCCACCGCTGTACTGTGTTTGTAAGTTAGTCTACAGTGCCTGTTTTCTGCTGCCATTGTTAGTTTATAACAATTTGTTGTAAGAAGAGAAACAGGAGAAATTGCTCATTGTATTCCCTTTCTCAATAAACAAGCAACTCTATGGAACTTGTAGTAAAAAGACGTCACATATTGCGAAAACAAAAAAAACCAAAGTTATCCCCCTCAATAAATCCATTGTTTGCTATCGTTTCGATATGGCAAAGGTACTACTTTAGACTATCTTGTATTTAAACGTAAAGTGATTTTCTTTTCTTTTTTTATTTGGAGTTCGAGTGAAATTAGTCGAAAAATTAGCTCAATCTCCAATAATTTTTAATCTTTGGAGGGTCTCTCAGCAATGATTATGTGCATTCAATTGCTTCAACAGATTTTTCTATATATCTATACTTTAGTTAAAAGATAAATTGTTGGACGGTGGTTTAACTAAGGGTGTTAAACTGGTGGGCTGGGCCGGGCCTCTATTTTTGGACCCGTACGGGTTACGGTCTGGGCCGATTCCGGGTTGGTTCTTAACGGGTTTAACGGGTTCGGGTTCATCCGGGTAAAAATTGAACCGTAAGGGTTACGGGTTGAGGGGGCCGGGCTGGGCCGGGTTTAGTGTATTTTTAATTTTTTTTTTTTGGAATTTTGTATAACTATTGTAAGTTATATTAATACTTTGTATTAATTTAAAGAATACAAGGAAGATGGGGAAAAATTGCACTTATAAATTGCAAGTACTACATTTATTTCAAAATTCAAAATTAAAGTTTGCATTTAAAAAGTAAATTAACAAAAAAATAGTAAAACTAAATTTTCATGTATAATAAATTAATAATACTTTAAATTAATCTAACATACTAAAACATTAAGCATAAATGTTAATAATTTTAAAAATAACACACAAATTGTCGAGAAATCTTAAATACGAATTTTCGGAGGACGCTCAAGACAATACTTTATATGCCTTCTTAAACTGCTTGTGCCACACTTTGAACGAAATTTTAAGACTTGACCATAGTTCTTGCACTTTAATTTTTGACCTTCTTCATTTTCTTCTACCACCTCAAAGTGTTGCCAAACATATGAGCGTACTCTAGAAGTACGAGGCATGATTTAACTTGAGAATTGAGAATTTGAGATTGAGACTTGAAGTCTTGCAAATTGGAGAATGAGATAATGAGAAATTGAGATTGAGAAGAATGAGTATTGAGTGAAGAAATAAGGGGGGGGGGGGGGGGTATTTATTTAGAGAAGGTTAGTTTTGTAAATTGAAAAAGGGTTACAAATTTAAAAGAAAAATAGGCTATTTGTGCAAAAGACCCGTTGGCCAACGGACCAAATTAGAATTGACGGTTGCCAACGGTCTGTGGGCCCCATTCAGTTCGAAAATTAAAAAAAAACAAAAAAAAAAGAACTATCCGTTGAACCGGTCCGGTTAACCCGGTAAGAGTGAACAGTAACTCTACTGAGTTCAATCGGGCCGGTTATCCGTTTCAAAAATTTAAATCGTCCTGGGCCGGTTCCGGGTTCTACCGGTCTGGAACCGGGTTAACCCGGCCCGTTTAACACCCTTAGGTTTAACTAATGAATTGACAAGAAAATTACTTTGGTCGAATCATCTAATCATGAACATTCACGTTTTGGACATAATTCACTTATTCACCACAGAATTTCTTTTCTTTTATCTTTCTTGTGGAAACTAAAACTAAACGTTGCTGGAGTACGTTCATTTTCATTTTTATATAAACAAGTCATCGTAGAATGCTGCATCTTAAGTTGTCATATCCCTCTTCATATATACTAAACGATTTTATGATTGAAAGATTCAAACCATTTCTTTAGAAGGGCGAAGTGCAGCAATAGTCACTTTTAAACCTACTATTTAAAATATATTCACAATTTATAATGTATTTAAAGATTAGCTAATTCACTCAAAGTTCAGGATTAAGTATCCTAAATTTGAAAACTCAGGACTTGGTGTTTTGAATTTTTGAGCTGCTAATTTGAAATTCAGGATACTTAGTCCTGAAATTTTGAACTACTTATTTAAAATTCAAGAGATAAAATTCGAACTTCTTGACACAATTTTCGAACTTTAGGATACGATGTCTTGAAGTATGAATTTTGAGGTTTAAACTTTAGGACGCTTTGTCATAAAGTTTGAGTGAAATTGATTAATCTTTAAATACATTATAAATTGTGGATATATTTTAAAAATGGCTACTTGGTGTCATTTCCACTCTTTAGAATGGACCTTTAGCGTTTGCAACATCATTGAAAAATAGCCACTATTTTACTGCAACACGGAAAGTTCCAACATAATATACTGGAGATCGGTGCACATGTGTATGAACTTCCAGCATATTATGCTGGAACTCCAACACGCGGAAAGTTCCAGTATATTATGCTGGACCTGTATATTATACTGGAACTCCAGTATATTATATTGGAGTATTTTTTTGAATCCTGAACAGTGTTTTCATTCAAATTTATCTTTACATGAAAAGTGGCTAAATTTCGATTAATTTTGAAATTGTGGCTATTTTTGAATGACCACTTGTAAATCTGGCTATTTTGAATTTCTCCCTGGACGTGTTTTGCATAATAGTTGGATCATTCATAAGAGTAGGGGTGTTAATAGATATTTAAAAAACGATTGAACCGACAGAACCGTACCGTACCGAACTGATTTTTAGGTTTCTTTTAATAAAATCGTAGGTTTTTATATAAATCTTTAACCGTACCGATAATTAGGGTAGGTTTTTTATTTTATGAAAATAAACCGAAAAAATATCGAACCGTACCGAATAAATTTTACAATGTAAAATATATGTTTATATGTTAAGTTTAAAAATAATAAAGCATTAAATTTTTTCTTGGGCCTTGGAATTATGAAATAGTACAAGCCAATAAGTAATTAAACTCAAAAAATCCTAATTCTCAAACCTATTATGCTACTTCTATTGAAATTAAATTATTTCCAGCATATTCACTAGCAAAACACAAGGTATTATAGCGATTAAGAGTAGCAACCTACAATGTATTGAATATATTTACTTTCGTATGAATTAGATTTGTCTTTTTGAAATGTTTAATCTTCTATAGACTTTATTCTTGAATCCCAACTTGGTTAACATCTTTCTACTTGTGTGATTTATATTTTTTTTTGTATTTGCTTAGTTTCGTTTACGCTGCTGTAGAATATTTGATGGATCTATACTCTAGCCATCTTTCATATTGTCTTAATTAATCACCTTTTAAACTGTAAAAATATCTTAGAGAGTTTTGCTAAGTCATACAAAACACTACTGAAAAATTGGTCTATGGTAACGCTTGAAAAACTGTCCCCACAGACTGCCAAACCGTTGCCATAGGGATATTGGAACGGTTTAAAGACCGTCACATCAGCCGGCGTACCCATAGGTCTACTGGAACGGTTCTTGCAACGGTTTGCATTGCCGTGACAATAGATACGTCTATCGCAACGATTTTTCCTTTCTTTGTTGGAACGGTTATTTTTTTCAATTGGAACGGTTCAAAACCGTTACTGTATTGTTTATAGAATAGTTTGTAACCGTTGCCATATTATTTAAAGAAACACTTATGTAAGCTGTTGCTACGGTTATGTTGGATATAGCAACGGTTTCTTTAAGCTATCTTAACGGTTACATTTGTGTTTAAAACGGTTTGTAGATCATTTTGGAACAGTTTATGGGACCTATGGCAACGGTTTAAATTGCCTACTGGAACGCCATTTGTATCAAGTTGCAACGTTCTGGTAGGCTATTGTGTCAATTCAGTTAAAACCAAAATATAGCACCTGTTATAAATAAATATTTATACATGTAATAAATTATAATAACACTAAAATTTAAATACATCATAGAATGAAACTATTAATAATACAAATTATCCATCAAGCAAAAGTATCCATAAAACAAATGTTCGACCTCATGAGTGCATAAGTTTAGTACATTTCAAGAGTGTAAATAAGTTTCAAAAAATGTTGGTAACAAAAGATTCCTAGAACATTCATCGATAACAATTCAAAATTCATCTCAAGTAGGGTCTAGTTCTTCATCGTCTTCATCATCCATTTCTTGATCTACTCCACCTACAAAAGAGGATAAATAAAGTTATTACCCTTCAAGAGAACCCGGTTTAAGAATACTCAAGCATTTAATTGTTTTTATACTTCTTTTATTAATCCAACTTATTCATCTCAACAAACTATACACAACATTATAACAATCTGATATTATTACCAAGGACCAAGGCTTTCAAACTATCAAGCTATGATGGAAAAGTAAAGAATAAAGTAAAAGGATAAAGTTAACAACTTTGAGTGAACCAAACTGAGAAATCTGTTCAGGAATAGTACCCCAAATGGTTAAAGGAATAACCATTCCAATGACCAGTGGCAAGTTCAAAGGAGGAAAAACTTCAAAGGTGTAAATGCTAAGACCACACGACAGAAAACCTGGCAACCCCCGAACACTACAATAGAAAACCACACACCAAGACAACTCAGACTACAGACAAGGCAAATATACCATAAACTGATACAGCAGGGCAGCAGGAGAACAGTGAGAAAGTTGGAGATCAGACAACTCCCACTACCAACCCAAAGTAATAACTTCTGGTAACCTAATAGAGAAGGGTTGCATGAGCATTGTTGGTCAAGATAAAGAAGCTATAGGAACACAGCCAAGCACATCCAAGTCAAAATCTAATCCCAGCCAAAAGAAAAGGAAACAACAGACAAGAAAAAGGGAAGCAGTAGGCTTGAATGCAGAAACTAATAGCTTGACAAAACAGAATCCAGAAATAATGCAAAATACAACAACATCAGCAGATACAGAAGTTGCTACAATGACAGAGCTCGCACTTTCACCTCAATCTGAAGCAGTTGAGTCACAAGTAACACTTTCATTTTATGTCCACAAACAGGAAACAAATGCTGGAAATGCAGATTGCTAAGACTCAGAGTTTCTAATGAACCACACTGTGAGAGATGTAGAGGTATGTGCTGGTTAAAGAAGTTATTTGCAAAGTTGAGATGAGCAAGATTGGGAAGTTGACATATAGAAGGTGAGATTTCACTAGAAAGATTGAAACTTTGGAGGTTAATAGTAGAGATAGAAGATGTACAAGTGATACCAGTCCAACTAAAGCTCTAAGAAGAAATAGAAGAAGATGTATAACATTTGGTACGTACTGACCT